GAGGTTGTGGCGTCTCTCAAGGTGGGTATAGAGGCAAGTGGTGCCCAGCTTGCCCGGGACAGTCCCTCTCTTCACCTGAATCTGGCACAGCAAGCAGTAGACGATGGGCTCACGCTGCAGGTTGGAGGAGCCGCCGGGAACACCGAAATAGTACCAGGCGGGCGACGCGTAAGATGCAACCGGAGCGCTTTCCTTTTCCGCCACAGGTGCGTTGGCAGGCGGAACATTATCACCGGCTGAGGGATTTCCGGCACTCCTAGGGCCCTCACCGGACGCTGCCGCGCCCGACACAACACTGACTATTTGGGGGAGGCCGGCGGAGGTATTGATGGGCTCTTCTTCCGGTTCCTCTTTCTTCACCTGGTAGATGGGGAAGGACATGGCAGATATGAAGCAATAATGCGGCCCACAAGCTAGGACACACTCACGTCACTCTCCGAAAACCCCTCCTCCTCCGTCAACAGAGCTTCTCCGCCGCAGAAAAGATGTATGGACAGCGCTGGGCTCAAATATTCCCGCTCTGCAAGACAAAAACATCACAAAAAGAAAGTTACAATAACTCAAAATGTTTTCATTACATTATTTATCTACACCGTGCTGCTGCTTCTTCTCCTCCCACTTTTCCCTATACAGGCCCCGCCCCATCCCGTGACTGGACAGTGAAAGAGAAGCAGCACAGTGATGGGTTCATTTCTCTCTCTCTCTCCCTACCTCCCCTCTATCTTCCCGCTCCCTCTCTCTCCCCCCGCTCCCTCTTTCTCTGCACTCCCCCAGGATAAGCAAACAAGAATGGCTCCTCTCTCCAGGATAAGCAAACAAGAATGGCTCCTCCCCCGGGACAAGTAAACAAGAATGCCCCCCATAGTAAAGAATGTTTCCTTCCCCCAGGATAAGCAAAGAATGGCTCCACCCACCAGAATAAGTAAACAACAATAACTCCCCCCAGAACAAGGAAACAAGACTGGCTCCTCTCTCAAACAAAGAATGGTTCCTCCCTTGAAAGAGTAAAGAATGGTTCCTCCCCCCAGGATAAGTAAACAAGAAAGGTTCCCCTCTGGAGGATAGTAAACAAGAATGGCCCCTCTCCCTCAGGAACACAAGAATGGCTCCTCCCCCAGGACAAGTAAACAAGAATGGCCCCACCCCCCATGATAAGTAAACAATAACTACTACCAGTATAAGTAAACAGGAATAGCCCCTCCTCCCAAAATAGTAAAGAATGTTTCCTTCCCCCCAGGATAAGCAAAGAATGGCTCCTCCCCCGGGGTAAATGAACAACAATGGCCCCTCCCCTTCCAGGATAAGTAAACAACAATGGATCCTCCACTATATGCATATAATGCTATAAAAACAAGATTTTCAGCACATTAAAACAATTATAATGTCTCATCTTTGTATTATATGCATGGCTGAAATATAAATCTCTTCCTAAAAGCATTCAGTCAATTCAAGTCAGCAATTGGGACTCTTCCTGGACACCTAAAGCAGCCAAAACACATGCAAAGCCAACCTATACATTGAATAAACAAATGATTGGTTGACGCAGAACCCCCATACAGTTATAATAGAGTTGAATGTGGTCCCCTTCCTGTGTCCTTGTCATTATTAATCCGATTTCCTCACCTTTCAGGTCTTCCTCTTGCTCTCCCTATTGCATGTGACTCTCCAGCACGGTCATCAAGC